GTAAAATATAATGCTACCTATTTCTATATGAGAACATTTTTTTTTCGTTTTATTAACTGTATTTTGCTTCAAAAAATTATTTCTCAAAAAATTTTTTGCTTTATTAATTTTGCACTTCTCTTTTAATATTTATGTAAACATACGCCAGCAACATGATTTTGCTTTATCAAGGCAAACAAACTTTATGTTCCATCCAACCATTGCGTTAAACACATAACTGCATGCGTAATTTGCTAATTTTAAACGAAATCACATGGGTACCGAATGCTGAACGCTCTGGTCGCTCCAATTCGACAGTTGTTCCGAAAAATATCAAAAAAAAACAAAAGATCGTTTTGGAGCACCGAAAAGTGACGTACCGTGAAATAGCTAAAGTTTTAAAGATATCAAAAGACCATCCATCATTTTGCATGGTGATTTATCTTTGAGAAAAGCAGGTGCTGCGTTCTCTCGTCAAAAACAACAATAGAATATATGTGTTTCATATATGTGTTTATTTGTCTATTTTGAAGAGCTTTTTTGAAAAAACAAGATGCAACTTTCCTTTTTTGAGTTTTTGCAAGTGCTGCGTTGTCAGTCATGTGAATGGATAGTAATTGATGATAGATTGGAATAAACTAACTAAAAATGAAACCATTTGTGGTTTTTCCCTCTTATTTAAGATGAACTCTTCAAATCTTAATTCCTCATTTTCTTTTAAGGTGTAAAAATATAGATTTTTCTTTTTATACTCTGCACCTCTTATGGTATAAACTTACGAGGATGTATACAACACTGAGAAGACTTAAGAGAGATCCTCTTTTCATTTAACTTTTTAAGCTGGTCGATTTGTCCGTTTATCTATCTAGTACTTTTGTGTTTAATTTATAGTTCGGAATTTTTGTACACTAACGTGCTTTGGCCCAAAAACGAATGGATTTGAAAATGGTCCGGATCGGATCAATTTTTTCACAACTTTTCATATAAGATCTTATTTTGAAAAGTCGCTACATAAATAACTACGTTAGGTGAGGGCATTTCCACATGCGCCATGAGTAGCTATAATTTTTTAACTTGTTTTCTTTTCTTAAGGGAAAAACGGGATAACGTCAATAAATGCATTAGATTGTGTGTTAAATATTTTTATAATGTGCAATATTATTGGTAATCAGTTGTATCATCCACTAGTTCTAAAAAATGTTTCATCCTTCATATGAGTTTTTTTGGTGTAAAAGCATTATACCGCGGCGAATAATAATAATAAATAAAATGATAACGTTACAATACAAAAATACAGCAAATACAGTGGTGACTTATTTTTATTATTATTTTATATAACATAATTACTTTAAAAAAATATTGTATATAAAGTTTTAATTGAGAGTATCCAAGATTCGAACTTTTGTAAAAGCAAAGAACAAATATTACTACATTATCATGGATGAACTGCCCGTATTTATCTATATACTCAATTCCATGCAAAAATATAAAATAGTAATAAAATTATAAAATCGTAGTCAATCAAACGTTTACTGGGTATAAATAAAAAATTTAAATAAAAAATTGAAATTACCCTTTGAATGAATTGTTTTAACGATGGGCGTGGTATCCATGGCATGAACTAAAAAAATTTTTATGAAAAACATAAACACAATTACAAAAATTAAAGAAATCATTTTCGATAAATTACCAAGCGGTGCGATTGTAATACTTGTGCAGAAAGCAGGCAAGCACGCACGCACGCACGCACGCACGCACGTGTGTGTGTGTGTGTGTGTGTTTGTGTGTAGTACCCGCAACACATGACAGGAACAAGGGAGATATGAAAAAAATACATGTATCAGAAACATTTTAAAATTTAACACTTACTATAAGTGACGACCAGTCCTGTTTGTGAAGAGTGGAGTGATTTGGTACAAAGAGGATTGTAATACAAAATATATAACAAATATATGTTGGTTACTTTGCAAATGTAATTGTCGAGGAACAAGTGTGCACATATTCTAATGGTTTAAAAGCTTATTCAATCCATTTTCTTCTTAAGAAATTTTCATATAAAAATTTTCATATAAAAAATCAGAAGGAATTTATTTCACTAAATTCATTCTTAGAACAGCATTGCAAACTTATTGCTTTTAAATGCAGTATAGCGGATCTTTTCATATTTTAAAATGTTCTGGTACCCTTATGTAACATAAATATGCGATATTCCAGAGTAGGTAATCGATTCGGTACATTATTACTTTTTACCAATTCCATTTCATTAAAGTGAACAATTCCTGAAGAATGTTTTTTCTTTTGAAAAACACGAAAAAATCTTCATTTCTTACCTTCATTACTTGCATAATCCAGAGGAAGAGGCAAGTGATTGCTTGATTTTTTATCGGAATCATCTTGATTTTTAGTGCGTAAAAACCACACCGTGACTACAATCACTAACACAAGTATAATCACTACTGCGACTGTGGCGCCGGCGACAATACGCATTTGAACGGAATCTTCATATACTGAAAATGAAATACATCAATCAGGCGAAAGTAAATCATTGACAATATGATTACGTTTACCTGATCTAATGCTCTGCTGAGTGTGAGCGTAAACAATGTTGCTATAAGTTCCATAACCATTTAAAGTTTTATAACGAACTTGAAATCCATATTCTGTATCTTCAAGGAGATTTTCGATGTGAGCTTTTGTTTCTTTTGTATTCAAGGCTGTCTTATTTATGGCGTCGAATTCCGGCTTTGGAAACCATCTAACTTCATAAAATTCTATTGAAGAATCACTTTGAGCGGGTTTATCCCAAGCAAGGTCGACTTCATTATTAGTCGTAGAAACAATATGAACATTACCCACAGTCGATAATATTGCCGACTCAGTTGTTGTAAATGTAATTTCAGCATGTTCTGTTTTTATTTGACTTAAGTCAATCGGTTTATTGTGGGCAAGGTTTGTAGAGACTCGCATGTTTTCAAATCCCTCCTTATTTCCACTTACTGCAGTCTCACTATCTAAACCATCTACAGGGCTTGATACGGTCTCTAATCGTTGAGATTCTTCATCATCCGACGTGGTATTATTACCTATTATACGCGATACGCCATTCATTGAGTGAATTTGTAAAATATAAGTAGTAATAGGTTCTAAATTAGTCAGCGTTAACTTCGTATCATTGAATGTGTCACTAGATGGCGTGAACACTACGTTTTGTGAACACGAAGAGCAAACAACCTTGTAAACTAAGTTAGTTATATATTTAGTGCGAGTGTGATGTGAAATGCTTTCCGTATGGTCACGAATCGGCGAATTCCAGGAAAGTATAGCGCTTATGTGATCGACAAATAATAACGTAAGATTGGTGGGTGGCCCAGGTGGTTTATAACATGGCGTCAGCTTTCCGTCACTTGGATGTCTATAAAATCCAGGTAAGCAGTTGCAGATCCCAGAGGCAGTTTTTGAAGCGTTTGAGTTCGGTGGGCAAGGTACACATTTACTGACTTCCGCTGAGCGAAAAGAACCAATTGGACATTCTAAAGAACAGGAATTAAACAATTTTTATGAAACTGTGTTCATCAAGCAAATATTAAAAACAAAGCACGAATTTAGGCTCTGCTATTTATTACATTAAAAAAATAATTCAGTATGTATGCTTTCCAACAAAATAATAACTTTACTTGTAGACTTGTTAGACAAAACTAACAGAGATACGAACTTAATGATTCTTGATGATATTTTTGACTTTAACGGCATGATCTCATTAAAACTTGTTTTGTTAATAGCATGGAGTCGAATTATCTATGTATAACAAACTGTTGTAAATTTAGTACGGAAATAGTGGCACTCATATTATAGTATTATATTTGGGCTCGTATGCAACATATTAATTTTAAGGGAAAATTTCGTAATGTAGTGAAAACACTTATTACAGGTTCTTTTGTTTATAGATTCTTTTTGTATATAGACCTGACTAAAGTGTGGTCAGTATCTTATATAATAAATTATTACGCTAATTTAAGCAAAATAGTACAATTAAACTAGGCTATTACTAAAGGTATATGTAACGTGTGGTATAGCTAAATTGGGTTATCTTAACTAGGTAATGCTGGTGTTGCATTACGTTGAAATGTGTAGAACTGATCTTAACTAGTTTATTGCATTGTGAGGATATATAATAAAGTGTAAACTTAGCATAAGTTATTGATAAAGTGGTAGAGTGCGATAAATCGATAATGCTACAGTAATAAACAAATTTGATAACCTGTGCTCTTAACTATTTTTACCGCTGTTAATTTAGAAAGGGAAATAAAATCCACGACTAAAGTCTTAAATGGCTAGCATCTAAGGCTATCGGCTTTTATTATATCCTACTTGAGATTTGAATGCACGACCCTTGAATTGTTAGTCTATATCCTAAACCTACTCGGCCACCCACGCAGTTTCACTCTTAATTAAAAATTAGTTTATTTTCACCTTTATACATTTTGGCAATTGTTAGTTACATAACTGTCATTGAATTTTTAATTTTTGTGCTTGATGCGTTTCTCATTGGTCTGATTTATATGTTGTGACGGAGATTTAAAAGTAAACAAATAAAAATATATGGGAAAAACGAAGAAACAAATTCATTATTAAAAACACGCAAAAATACTGCAGTTGGCCAGGATCCACCATTAAATATCCTACACCTGCCCATTCGTATAACAATTTTCAAAGCAAGGCGTTATATGGACAGTGGTCGACGAACTGGTACTATTCCAGCCACTTTCAATAACCAACCCACGTCATTATACCAGATTTTATTAAAATAATGCAAAACCTGCGGTCTGTATGCTGAATCAGGAAACAAGATGCACAGACGGGAAAATAGGCAAACAAGCTTAAATATATTCAAGAAGGCAATCGGCAACTCTGTTCAAGCGATGTGGTCATATTTTTCTCTTTGTGGAAAAATTTTTGCAATTTAATTTCTTTATTGCGTTATACATTTTTAAAAGTTCTCAAACTTATTATAATCTATTGAACTTTCTGTGTGTTTATTGCGAAAAGTGTTCATCGCGGATATCGTACGTGTTTTCCTTTAAATACATAAAAAAAAAAAAAAAAGAAAAAAAAAAATTAAAAACATCTGACTTTTTATTCAGTAGTTTCCCAAACCTTTTGAAGTGAGTGGTTATTTCACAAATAATAAGCAATAGACAACATAATGGCCCCGGGGCTGCCAGACAAAAACTGGAATAGATTTCATCTATTAAGTGATACATCCCCCCAAAGAAAAAAAAGTAAAAATTCCGATTTTCCGTTGTTGCCAATCACCG